TACACATTTCTTAAATAAAGTAAAAGAACGATTTAACCTCACAAGTTCTGAACAGCTGCATCTAAAAGTTCCATCGCCTTATCCTTAGTCTTTGAAATGTCAGGGCTCGCTTATTCTCCTCACATTTAAAAATTATAATCTTATGGGTCTGGAGTGCTAGCACAGTGGGTAGGGCATTTACCTTGCACGTGGTCAACCCGGGTTCAATTCCCAGCATCCCGTACGGTCCCTTGAGCACCACCAGGAGTAATTCCTGAATGCAGAGCCAGGAGTAATCCCATGCATCACCAAGCGTAACCCAAAAAGATCACTTAATCACTTGATCACCTTGGACTCCAGGCTCAGGATTATATGAAAGCCTTGAAAATATACCAATGCCTGGCTAAGACAGTTCAGGGGCAAAGCACCTGCCTTACAACCACGACGCCACAAGTCGGGTCCCTGGCACTGGCTTACAGGTGGCTTGTGCAACCTTAACGGCGCTGACCTCTGGGATTTCCAGTAACACAACAAAACATGCGATCTCCAATGTACTACACCTAAGAGAACGTGACCCGTTGGCATGAATGTTTAGCACCGCCACGACTAATAACAGATCATGCCCACACCTGGTGTGATTGGTCTGACAGGGGGCTTGGGCATCAACATTTTTTCTTAAGTACCCCCACCCCCATCCCCAGGTCATTTCAATGTGTCACCATCATGGGAAACAGTGGGCAGGAGCAAGTTCATTCACCTAGTGAGGGAGTGACTCAAATGAGTAAGGGTCAGGAAGAAGAAGTCTTGGCTCCTTTGAGGTGCTTCGACTCGCTCCCTGGGGCTGCTAGACGTCCAAGCTTGGGCTGGAGCAATAGTGCAGGTGGGGCATTTGCTTTGCAGGCAGCTGACTCCGGTTTGATCCCCCGCATCCCATATTGCCCGACCTGAGCACTGCCAGGAGTAATTCCTGAGTGCAGAGCCAGGAGTTAACCCCTCTGCATTGCTGGGTGTGACCTTAAAAAAGAAAGAAGAAGAAGAAGACGAAGTCCAGGCTTCTGATCCAGCCTCTCCAATGCCCAGGAAGAAAAGCCAGAGCTCTGAGCTCAGTGGGGAGATGTAGGCAGCACTCAGGGCCATGCACCCTGGCCTGGCAGAGCTTCAGCCGGAGTCCCATCTGCAGATGACAAGGTGATGTGGTTTTCATTACATTACTATGTATTCAGTGGTCAAAATGCAGAAAGAGAAAACGATGCTATTTTTGGCATCAGCAGTGGAAAGGGATGATCTTCTCTCTCTATTCCAGACAGTAAAAATATATATATATATTATCTGGGTCCCAGGGGACAGCTGGGGATGGTGGCAGTGGGGCTACAGTGGAAGAGAAGTGAAAGAAGGGCCAGCCAAGTTGCTCAGGAGTGACTTCATGCCACTTTGGGGCGTTCTTCACCAGGCGAGAGAGAAGTGGGCAGGAAAGCGAGAGACACAGCCTGGCCCTTCACGTCAGGCCTACGTATGCAGCGTCTAGGTGGATCTTACAGAAACCTAGGGACCCAGTTTGTGCACGTGTGGTGTTTTCTGAGGGAAGGGGTTTAGTCAACTTCCTAAAGACTAAGGATGACAACTGGTCCTGGTCATGTCCATTCTAAGAAGAATGGCTACTTGTCACCCCACACGCCCTGCCCTGACAGAGCTGGCCCTCCACAGTTTACTGAAGTGGATGGATGACACTGGTCTTCTGGGTTCAGTCTAAGGTGGCCTGGGCGCAGCCCGTAATCACTAGTGTACTCCCCTTCTCTGGCTCGGCACCTTCTGGCCTTGTCCAGGCCAGGGGACACACTAGGCTTCCCTAAAATCTCTGCTGTCCTTCCTACCTTGGTCTTCCAGACCCGAATCCGTCCTTCTCTCTGTGCCTGAGCCTGGGACCCTAAGCCTGGTCCTGTACCTGATACATCTGGCGAGGTCTTTCCCAGCCCTTTTGCTCCTCATGACCAGCCTAACTTGACACCCTCAGGATTCCAGGATGGATTCCCAAGGTGGGGCCCAGGGGCCACCCCAGATCAGTTCTGCCATACTCAGAAATGGAGTCCTATCCTTGTCCGCTAAACAATGTCTTCCAGAAAGTCCATAAAGAAGATAGAGGGGTTGTTTGCTTACTTTTTCGATGCTACAAAATAAGAGATAACTACAAATTCTGAGATACGAGGATAAAAAGGCATCCCAGTCAGCTCTACAGAAGCTGCTTATTATGGATGCTAATTCCCACAAGGCATGATCTTGGTATATCCTATGTACACCATGACTGTTACTATGTAGCACCGTCCTCCTGCTGTTCACTGATTTGCTCGAGCAGGCACAGGTAACTTTTTCATTGTGAGATGTGTTACTGTTTTTGACGTACTGAATACATCAGGGGTAGCTTGCCAGGCTCTGCCGTGTGGGATACTCTCAGTAGCTTGCCGGGCTCTCTGAGAGGGAGGAAGGAATCGAACCCAGGTGGGCCACATGAAGGCAAACGCCCTACCCGTTGTGCTACTGCTCCAGCCCAGCTTTACAGAAACTGCTTATTATGGGTGCTAATTCCCACAAGGCATGTTCTTGTTATATCCTACATACACCACGACTATTCCTATAATCATTATTAAACAATTAAAGTTGATCCCTTTTTTGAGCTTCAAAGCTGAAGTGACTTAAGTATGTCAGTCTTGAGTGTTTGTCGGTTCTGCACAGAAACGGTGTGCTTTTAATTTAGTGGAAGAAAAACAATAAAGGAGACTGAGAGTGGAGGGCACCAAACAAGCCAGGACCCTGTTCAGGCTTCGTCATGAACTGTGTGACGCTAAGCAGGTTTACTTACTTCTCTGGGCTTCTCCTCTGAACAGGAGCCCCTTCCTAAAGACCCCTTCCCAATGCGGCACACATGGAAGGAAGGAGTAAAATGGTCAACTGTATGAACACGAACAGAAACTATACTTTGGGGGGTGCTCATGATAAGGAATAAGGCGCCGTCAAATCACAATGAGCCAGGTGCCTGGAGAGAGTAGAGTGGCTGAGGCACTTTCCTAGCTGTGGCCATCCTTGTCTCTCTCTCTCTGGGCATCCCATATGGTCCCCTGGCTCAGTTAGGTGTGATCCCTGAGCTCAGAGTTTCGAGGAAATCCCAGCGCTGCCGGGATTATAGCGAAACACATAATATTGCAAATCAGCGTTACCTCAATCAAAATGAATGCAGATCCGAGAGATAACTCAAGAGGCTGAACAAATACTTTGCATACAGGAGGCTTGGGTTCCAGTCCCAGCACTTTGAGGCCCCAGAACACCAGAAGCAAGCCCCAAGCACTGGGCCAGGAGGAACGCTTGTGCACCACTGGGTGTGGTCCCCAAATCCCACACAGAAGTCTCAAAACGTACAGGGAACTCCCAATGCAAAGTAGGTGAAAGAAGTGCCTGAGGCTGCCTTGGAGGCAGAATCCTGAGTGAGGATTCATCCGAATTCATCCTAAAATCTTGCTGCTGCAAGAGGCCTGCCAGGAAAGCAACTCCAGACAGCCCCAGAGCTCTGGGGGAGGTCCCAGAATAAACACAAGAAGTTAAGAGTGACACCCAAGAGCATTTTAGTAAACTTGGAAGTTAACCTGAAAAAAAAAAAAAGTGGGGGAAACATTTCATTCTTAACTTCTGAGGGGAGGGATGGAATGATTAAGATGAATACTTGGATTTCTCTCACCTCCCGGAAAACACAAGCAAAGCAATTCTAGGTTTAATCTCCTTCTCCAGATTGTTGGGCCGAATTAAATCAGTGGGTTGAATGAGTTATGCCTCCGTGTCCAAGAGGCAGTTCTAAAACAACCCCTGGCTCAAAAATACTAAACCACTTGTCCTAGTGACACAGGGAGTTCTGAACTCCAAATTGTAGTGGGAATATCACACCACTGCAAATTACTAGGTGGTACCCGAGTCCCTAAGAAAGGAACTGACATAAAAGCACTGCTGTTTTCGAGATGTACATTTGATACGGGCTAATCAATTTTTAAGATTATTTGGGGGGGCAGGTCAGACATTCTCCACAGTCCTTCAGTTTCTCCCTTTGTTCTAAGTATAAGTAGACCATATAGTGGACCACTTTCTCTCTTGCTAAAGTTTCAAAAACAAGGCCTTTTTGTCAGGGCCGGTCAACCTTAAAAAAGGCGTCATTTAATGCTAAATCTCCCCAACTTTCCTCAATCGAAAACTTTTCGACTCAAACGGGATTATTATTTTCCAGGCTTTTTTCTTTCCTCTCCACCCCAGCCCCTACCCCCCATGCTTAAATCCCATCTACCCTGCCGGACTGGCTCCCCCCCCCCACCCTGCAGTATCTGACTTTGGAAGCGGAGACATACCCCTTTCCTTCCACACAGCCTGAACGCTCTCCAAATCGAAGCCCTCTGACCTTTCAAAACCACAATCTTTGGAACTGCCAGGGGAAATGGTAATCTTTAAGTCCCAAGGAGGTAGCCTAAGGTCTGGGGGGCTGGGAAGAGGCGGGAGGGAGGTACTATAGATCTGGCATCCGTTCAGAAATGTAGAAAATGTTTGTGCAACCACTCCCCCAGCCGGGATCCACCGCACCCGCTGCCTTCCAGCACATTAATAATACATTTAAAAAAAGAAAGAAAAGACAAGACGTGAGCGGATGAAACAGGGGAGGCCGGGAGGGCCGCCCTAGGCGATGAGAATTCTGGACCGAGGGAAAGTGCAACGATCCCCGCTCCCTCCGGTCCGGCCGATCCCCGAAATTCCGGGTCCCTCCCGCCCAGGAACCCCGCCGAGGGCTGGAACCCGCGAGCTCCCAGTCGCGCTCGCGCGCCCCGGGAGTGACACCAACCCCGCACGTCGGGGGGCACCTTGGGCTCCACGTCGGCCCCTGCCCGGGAAGTGCGATGCGCTCGGGGGAGGAAGGGAGCCGGCCCGCCGCCCCGTCCGAGTGGGGCGCGGGGTGGGGTGGGGCGCGGGGCTGCGGGGCCGGGCGGGCCCGCACTCACCGTCCTGCCCGGAGCTCTCCAGGTACGCGCTCAGGTCGCGGCCGAAGGCGCCGGCGGCCCCCTTGCGTCTCGGCAGCTTCTGCTTGGCGCCCTTGTTCTTCATGAGTCAGTCCCCGAGCGGTGGCCCCTCCGCCTCGCCCTCCCCTCTGCGTGGCGCGGCGCGGCGCGGGCGGCGCGTCCCGGCTCGGCTCGCGGGCGGCCCACGGCGGGGGTCCCGGCGCGCGGGGCCGGGGCGCGCGGGGCAGGGCGCGCGGGGCAGGGCGCGCGGCGGGCGGGCGGGCGGGCGCGCGGGGCGGCCGGGGCGCGCGGTCAGCGCCGGGGGGCGGCCGTGGCTCGCGGAGCGCTGCGCCCGCGCGGCTGCCTGCCCGGGGCGCTGGGGGGCCGGCAGCGCCGCATCCTGTCGGGCGCCCGCCCGCGCCGCCTCTTTCCTGCCGCCGGCCCGGGACCGCCGGCGCAGGAAACGCGGGAAGGAAGCGCGCGGGGGCGGGGCGCGGCGGGGAGGGCCGGGCCGGGCCGCTGGGCGCCGCGGGCCTGTGCGTGTGTGTGTGCCTGCGTGGGTCCGGGTCTGGGCGTGCGTCTCTCGGTGTGTCTGGTGATGCCCAGATGTGCGCTGTGCAGAGGTGCGTCCGTGTGTGGAGCGCTGTCTCTCTGGCTACTGGTGTGTTTTTGTCTGCGTAGACGTATAGACTGTAAATACGTGGGTATACGTGTGTGTTTCCGTGTGTACGTGCGTATGTGCGTGCGTGTGTGTGGTTGTGTTTGTGAGTATACCTTGTGTGTTTGCATGTATGTCTATGTGTGTACTGTGTATATGTGTATATATGCGTGTTCGTGTTCGTATGTGTGTACGTGTGTGTGGTTGTGTTTGTGAGTATACCTTGTGTGTTTGTATATATGTATGTGTGTGTACTGTGTATATGTGTGTCCATGTGTTTGTGCCCGTATGTGTGTACGTGTGTGTAGTTCTGTTTGTGTATCTACTGGTGTGTTTTTATCTGTGTAGGTATATACTGTAAATATGTGGGTATATATATGTGTTTCCGTGTGTACGTGCGTATGTGCGTACGTGTGTGTGGTTGTGTTTGTGAATATACCTTGCATGTTTGCATATATGTCTATGTGTCTACTGTGTATATGTGTATATATGCGTGTTCATGTTCGTGTTCGTATGTGCGTACATGTGTGTGGTTGTGTTTGTGAGTATACCTTGTGTGTTTGTATATATGTATATGTATGTACTGTGCATATGTGTGTCCATGTGTCTGTGCCCATATGTGCGTCCATGTGTGTAGTTCTGTCTGTGTGTCTACTGGTGTGTTTTTATCTGTGTAGATGTATATACTGTAAATACGTGGGTATACGTGTGTGTTTCCGTGTGTTTGTGCGTATGTGCGTACGTGTGTGTGGTTGTGTTTGTGAGTATACCTTGTGTGTTTGCATGTATGTCTATGTGTGTACTGTGTATATGTGTATATATGCGTGTTCGTGTTCGTATGTGTGTACGTGTGTGTGGTTGTGTTTGTGAGTATACCTTGTGTGTTTGTATATATGTATATGTGTGTACTGTGTATATGTGTGTCCGTGTGTTTGTGCCCGTATGTGTGTACGTGTGTGTAGTTCTGTTTGTGTGTCTACTGGTGTGTTTTTATCTGTGTAGGTATATACTGTAAATATGTGGGTATATGTATGTGTTTCCGTGTGTATGTGCCTATGTGTGTACGTGTGTGGTTGTGTTTGTGAGTATACCTTGTGTGTTTGCATATATGTATATGTGTGTACTGTGTATATGTGTATATATGCGAGTTCGTGTGTGTATGTGTCTGTGCATAGCTGTGTTTGTGAGTATACCTTGTGTGTTTGTATATATGTATATGTAGGTACTGTGTATATGTGTGTCTGTGTGTATAGTTGTGTGTGTATGCCGTGTGTGTTTGTATATGTGTATATGTATGTACTGTGTATATGTGTATATATGTGTGTTCGTGTGTGTATGTGTCTATGTGTGCACAGCTGCATTTGTGTGTATACCTTCCGTGTTTGTATATGTGTGAATGTATTACTGTGTATGTGTGTGCATATATGTGTGTATGTGCCTAGATGTGTGTGTACGTGTTCATAGTTATGTTTGTGTGTATACCTTGCATACTTGCGTGTATGTGTTTAGGTACGTTCATATGTTTATGTGTATGGATATGTGTGCCTATATATGTATGTACATGTGTGTACAATTGTGTTTGCGTGTACACCTTGTGTGTCTGTATATGTTTAAATGTATGTACTGTCTATATGTGTGTATGTGCCTATATGTGTGTGTTTAGTTGTGTTTGTGTGTATACCTTGCATGTTTGTGTGTATATGTAGGTACGTGTGCTTGCGTCTTTCCGTGTGTGTCTGTGGAAGCCTGAGGAAGTCGGTGGGTGGGTGGACGGCCTGGCGGGGCGAAGAGGCACTAGGGAGAGCTGTGCCCGGGCCCCAGGCCCCCCAGCCCCAGCATCCCTTCCTGCCCCACCTCCTGGCCCGAGCTGGAGGCGGTGCGCGGGTGGAGGGCGCTAGGTGGGACTGGAACAAAAGTCTGGCGGTCCCCTTGCAGCGTTTATCTTCATTGTCATCATCTCTTTAACACTTTCTATTTCTGTGCTCGCCTTCTCGGACACAAACACTTAGGGGAGTGGCGGAAACAAAGACAAGGACTCCAGCCCCGGCTGTCGGAGCCAGCCACATACCCAGGTACCCATGAGGACAGAGAGGCTCAGTGTCCGCTGTCCGTGAAGTCAGATTTATGGTTTCAGACTGTCGCACCTGCACACTCACACACACAGACACACACACACAGACATACACAGACACAGCATTTTGCCAAGTGGGAATCGGTGAGTCCTAAGGTCCACCATTTTTGAATGCTTGATAATGACTTCTTTGGAGACAGTGATCCCTCAGGCAGTCTCATATTTTAGCCAAGTTATCGAGAGGGTATGTTTCTTCTTCCCCAGTTAAATCGGAAACTCTTGACTTCTGTGTACTCAGCATACAGCAAGCACTGACATTCTCCTGACTTAACTTATTCGAAGATTAAACTTCCTGTACAAATTGAAATCCACGTTTAGGTTTTAAAGGATGAGATCCTGCACAGGGTACAGATTGCCGGCAAAAGCTTTCGCGCAGAATTTTCCTTACAGAACCGTTTCATGGTCACTTACTCCCCTATGTATCATGATGGTGGCTTATGAACTTTGACCCTTGATCTTATCTCTAACAGCCGTCAGAACTGATAGTCTGTCCAATCTGGCTCACAGATGTGCTTGGCGTGCCACACACCACACTTGGAATTTTTTTTTTAAGCTTTCAAACCTTTCGACATTGAAGAGTTAAGAGGTTTTGCACTAAGCAGTCACAGTTTCTGTCTCCTCTCTCAAACTGGAAGATGCAGTAACGCCCGTGTTTTCCTGCACGGCGAGGGCTGCTGAGGCCAGGCTGTGGGAGCACCCCCAGTGACTTCCAGTTTCCATGGCCTGGCCTCCCTGCTTTTCCAGACCTGGCTTCTGAAACCGCATGAGTCCTAGGATCACACGCCGTGTACACAGTCCCCTTCCTCCCATTTTCTGTTTGCCTCTTGGTGACACCAGCATTCCTCATTCAGCGTGGCGAGTCATCTTCAAGTAACCACTGACTCACTTCTCTCCCTCCTCCCACACCTCAGAAGCAGTCCCTCCAGGCTCTCTAATCCTTCGGAATGCCTCTCTGCTGAGCTACTCCCGTCCAGCTCCCTTCCTCAAGGGCCACTCACTCCTCAGTTATTAAAATGACTCCAAGTAGGGGTTGCAGAGTCCAGTTGCTTCCTGTCTCATCCCTCCTCTAATGAATCTTCCTGAAAACCTTGCTGTTGTTATTTGAGTGCGTTGCTCAAAATCCCTCAGTTTTCTCTGTTTGGCTGCTGCCAAGACAGTAGTTTCTGAACGTTTGCTAAACTACTAGGAGAATGCACAGTGGGGCATTAGTGTTCAGCTTTTGTGTCTCTATTGATGCAGAAACATCTCTGTCTTAGACTACACTTGTCACTATTAACATTTGTTTGGGAGATTAAGTCAGCAGAACTCTCCTCTTGGTTATTTCATCCAACCTGCAGTGGATTTCATCACTTTAGCAACCAAGGAGAGACTGTGAAAGTATGGGAACTTTCTTCCTCGGTCCAGATCCTTGGGTCCCCAAATTACAGATAAAATGGTTAGGCCATATGAGTTACCCTTTCAAATGTTGGAAAACATTCTTTTAACTTTTCATATGGACTAAATGCGACTTATTTTTAGAATTTGTGAAAAGGAGTATCCCTATATATATTTTACACTTGATCTCTTGATCACGTGACATCCCATTACTCATTGGTTTGCTTGAGCGGGCACCAGTAATGTCTCCATTCGTTCCCGTCATGCGCTAGTGTAGCCCAATGGCCTCTGCTCGTTCCAGGAACACAAAGAGCCTCAAACCATTCCTTCAGGGTTTTGACGAAGAAGTCTGACCGTCTCGTAGGTGGGCAGCCACGCGCTCTTTTGATATCCGGTGGAATCCAGTTGGTAATGGCTCTAGTCCAGTGGTTGTCTCCAAACTGCATTACGTGTTCCAGCCCATCTGATTTTCGACACCTTGGCAAACGACACAACATCCCTGATTCTTGATCGTTGACGGAGGTTGGAACTCTGGATTCTTTCTCTCACTTGAGTGAAGCGTGATACTCCAAGTATAGCTCTTTCAAATTCCTCTTTGGGAGAATAAGAATATTTTACACAGTTTTTCCCCAATATTAATATCTTATATAACCAGAGTTATTAAATTACCCAAATCAGGAAATTTATATAATGATCTTAACTAATCAGCAAACCAAATTCAAATATTTGAATGGTCAAATATTTAAATGCATATTCCCCCTTTGTTGTTGTTGTTGTTGTTGGGTTTTTGGGCTACACCTGGTGACATTCAGGGATTATACCTGGTGGTGCTTAGGGGATGCCTAGGATCGAACGTGGGTCGACCGCATGCAAATGCCCTATCCTCTGTACTATAACTCTAGTTCTGCGTTCATTTTTTAAAATTAAATGTGATATTTCTCACAATTCAAGCCTC